TTTATTTATGGATAACAGGAAATACTGATTGTGGTGAATGATTCGCAAAAACGAAGTTAGACACGGGCTGGCGTCGAGTATCAGCACCATAAACCGACAACAGTGTTCTCTCAGTTGTTGCACTTTTCTCATCAAAAGGTCAAAGCATTTATTTATAAACACTTCTTATCGTTACACCTCGTTGGTGATGCATACGAGTCGGTGAATATGCATGTATGCCAAAGTCAGTGTCGATCAATGATTGCGTCGATTAATTCTATCGGTGAAATCTGTATTGTTGATTTCAATGTAATTCGTCGCGATCGATGCGGTATTCAATTTTCGTGTTTTATTGGCGAGAATCGGTCTAACTCTGTTAAATGCGTTATTTTCACCGTTTATCAGTCATACGTCGAGGTAAACTCGATGTTCGAGTGAGACTCACGATGAAAATTATCTATTAGAGGAAGAATATCGATTAAAAAAAAAACTATCGATTATTAATAAGCCAAAATAGAGGACAATTTTGATATTAACGATATTTTACCATCAAATTAAACTGACAATTGCAATGAACAGAAAAATGATCCTCAACCTAAACTTTTGATAGCAAAATAAATAAGACGAACACTGTCGCGAATGAAATACTGACATCAATTATGCAAATCAGGCATAAAAATATAAATCAATAAAATAATATATTAATCGCTTCTTCGTCATTTTTTCAAAACGACATCCTTACTAAGGAAAAGGAAAAAGATTCTATATTCCTAGTAAAAGTACAATTTGTTCCACAATCAAACGAAGTAGCACTGATGCTAGCAAGTATAACTGATGTCTAACAAAACAGTAAACGATACCTTCCTAGTTTATAGTTTCATAATTTTGATTGTATGCTTGTAACAGCATTAACGATTAGTAAATCAGAGATCGAAAATATCAGGAATCAAAAAATAAAGCCAACAAAACATTAGATGAGGAAAAATGAACCTGACTGATCAGTCGAATTCCTCGGCCTAGAATTGATCTACCAGTACAACAGTGTAAAACGAAAAACACTTCAAACAACAGCGACGGGTCAAAAGACGATCGCCGTATGCATTAAATTGCATCGCGATCCGTTTCGCACATGACCCGCGTGTCGCAAAGCAGCACAGTATCGCATACACGATAAATCGAAGCTCTATGCAAGTGAACATAATGGAGAGGTGATGAGCGTATGTAAACAAGAAGTCGCGGCGAAGCGACGGCATGCGTTGGGTTATTTATAGAAATCCATTATTGTGCAACAAACGTGGCTTTACGTAACGCGCGTAGTGTACCCAGGTCTTGTCGGTCACTCGGCCGTATACAAAGGAACTCGCTTTCCTCGTCCTTTTGTTTCTATCCCTTTCTTTCTCTCCCTCTCTCTTTCTTGTTTCTTTTTCATTTATTTCTTCTTTTCTATTTCCGTTTTTTGTAGATTCACAAGGATGCGCGGCAAACGCGAGCATCCCTGGCAACCGAAATCGCGCACCGCTCGTCTACCGACGTAAACAAAAGAGGCAGGAGACAATTCTGAAAACTATGCGCCGGCCGAGAGAAGAGAAAGAAAGGAAACGACGTCTACTAAACGAAGAATGATGGCAGCAGCTGGACTATGGGTGATAGAGTTAGAAAAATACTCTGCGACGAAGGGAAACAGTGTTGATATACAGACTTTCTCTGTGAATCGGGGAAGTATTTGAGCTTTGATCCAATTCCTACTTACGATACTGAACTTGTTCAGTAGTTGGAGTGATTTGGAGATTTTTCGAGCGATTATAAAGGTGTCTGTGAAAGTAGCTCTATGATTTCAATAAGTATAAATTGTAATTATTTGGTGGTTCTATAAAGACAGACGAACAAAAATATTGATAAAATATTCAAAATAATTGTTACATTTTGTTATCGAAACCAGTAACAAAGTTGAAAGCTATGGAAATACTTTGGTGTTGGAGGATTACACGGGTTTGCTCTTGAAGCTGCGGAGGCCCGATACTTTTTCCTCCGGACGATTTCGATCGTATCGTGACCGTGATACACACCGGCGCGGCGTCGCGAGGGAAACGAAGGGAACGAGTGTACAGAGCCGAGAGATACAAACGCTCCGAGTACCGTACATGCATTCCAAACCTGTTTAGACAACTCGCGATAACATTCCGAGAAACGATTAATCGCGACCACGAGTGCTCAGCCTAGCGACCGTTTACCGGTCGAGCCCTGGCAGAAAACCGGTATGATTTATTTTAAACACGATATAATTTGCCGCGGATAATTCTTCTGTCCGAAAATGTCGATAGCCGGGGAACGAATTGTAAACTGACAACGATAAGACCCTTCCATTTTGCTAATTTCGTCCAAAACGATATGTTCACTGATTACTTTTTTCATCGTTAAATTACCAATGATTTATTGAATTTTCGTTGAAAATTATTATTAGCATCCTCCATGGTTTTATTTCAAATGAAACTTTCATTGTTTATTTGTTCGATTTCTTTGTTGCACATTGAAATTCGATTATACGATATTAGTATGAACGATTTAATTCTGGTTGTCTTTAAAAGGATTTATTTTAGGTTACATTAAATATTCGGTATGTATTATTTTCTTAAGTAATTTGTATTCCTTAGCTTCATTCTCGTTAATTATTACGTAAATTGTTACTTTCATTCAATTCCGTGGAATCTACTATTATACTAACGTTAGCAACTGTTTAATTAATTTTAATAATTGCAATTAAAATATTGAATTGCCGGTTGTTTAACTTGATATTACACTCTGAAAATCAGTCAACGTTATAAATACGATACAAATAATTCTAATGCGTGAAAATTTAAATAAATACATATCACGTAACATATTCATTACATTTGAATTAAAATTTAAATCGGCTAATGATATATGTAATATTTTTGATCAACAATTTATGATTAGCAATTAATGTTAATAATGATCAAGAGAAAAGTAATTTCTTCAAACAATTAAATTAATCACTCGTGAACATTATTCGATAAACTAAATTAAAAATTCTAATCAGTTGGTATCCAAGACGCTATTAGAGAATCATTAACGACGTCTTTGAAGGCTTTCATTAATTTATATTGCAACATGACACGCGTAAGAAATATCTTTATGAATCTTTAGCCTTCGTGTGCATTTAATCAGTACAGTCTCGAACAATCAGCATTGCTAATCTGAAATCTATAAACAAAAATTTCCTAAACGAAAAGGTAGCCAAAATAACAACATAAACATTAGTAGGCTCGTAAAAAAAATAATAATTTAAACAATGAAATATATAGAATGAAAACTATAACATTTCTCAAAGCAAATTTTTGTCGCGTAAATAATTTTTAATTACACAAAAACCGTCTAAAAATCAATCGAAAATACCTATGAAATATCGAAATTTTCATAAAAAATGTTGTATTTTTGTATTAATTAATCATTCAAATATCGCATAGAATTCCATATAAAATAACTTTCATTTGCAAAAATAAAAAAGAAACTATGCGTGTGATATCATCGATGTATACAACTAAGTAAAATAGTCCAAATAAATATTTCCCGAAAATTAAACCGAAATGCTGCCTATTATTAAGAAACAAGCTCAATTTTCACGACAAGAGAACCGAATTCCGAGGAAACAACCTATTTACTATTCGCACGCGAGACATATTTTGTCCAATCTTGCTCCCGCGCCATGCTTGTTTGGGCGTGAACGCATGGTGGCCACGGGTTTGATTCACCTCGATCCGCGAATATTCTTCGGTCATGTGAGAAGGGGAAAGCGATGAGATGACGACGATGCAATGATAAAGAAAGAAAAAGGGAAAAACTTGAAACGAGCAAAATTCAAGTCGATACGCTCGAAAGAATATCGCGGAATTGCATCATATGAAAGACGAAGGCTATTGTGCCGGCCGGTCCGTCAGCGGAGCCGGCCGGCCGGCGTTCGCAACAGCTGGCTATCGAGGGGTAAACTAGATTTTGTTTGCATTGTGCGCACGTTTTACGTTCATGTCATGATTTAATCGGGA